CTCTCTCTCTCTCTCTTCCCCCCCCTCCCCCCTCCCCCTCAGCATTTGGGAGACTTGATGGCAACAGAACCCAGAGGATCCTCAACCCTCGATCCTATCCTTATTACATCCTTTCTGGAACTTTGTAAAGTCAGGGATTTCTGATCTAGGAAAGAGATGATAAAAATGTAGGAGAAGGAATCCAAGGTCAGATTTCCAATTTTGAGGTTAGATGTCTCATTTAGATTTTATAAGGGGAAACCGGACCAACCTTACAAGCCCTAGAATCCTGGGGGTTACACATTATTTTAGGTTATGAATGTACATTTGATTTTAGATTAGACAAGTACAGTCCAAATTCCAAAAAGTGCCCAAAGTGTGCTCTGCTTTGCCAATTAATTTTAGATGTGGAATTTGGCAGAGAGCTGAGTTAAAGTGTGATCCACCCTGTAGAAAAAAATCCTATTAGGCATTCCTCTACAGTAAGCCACCAATAAGTTCTAAGGATGTCAAGATGACTTAGGCTGCTGCATTAACACCTTCTTAAGGAATAGCATCCAACTACAGTATCTTGTATTTATTTGATTAATATTCTGCTTTTCTTTCAGGAGGCGAAAATGGCATATGCAACCCTTCCTCCTCTAATTTTTTTCCCACAATAACAACTCTGTGGAGTGGCCTAGGCTGAAAAAGAATGTCCCAAAGTCACCCAGTGAATTTTCATAGCTACATGTGATCTGGAGCCAGAATATCCTAGATCTTAACTCCAGGACCTCAATCTCATATAGCATGCTGGCTGTCAGCTACATGTGGCATGAAACTACCACTACAATTTTCCAAACCAGTCATCTGAAGTGTGGTCATAGTATCCTGAGATTATCTGTCAATCAATCAATCAAGTAATCATCTCAGGACACTATGATTTTGTGTCAAAATACTATGATGCCATGCTTTGTGTATATTATTATATGAACCCTGACAAGTTTCTCGTCAAATTTTAATTGCATACCAATAGATATTTTTTTCTCACTATGAGAAAGACATCCATAACATCCATAACATACTAAAGATTATAATTGTTAAACCTCAATATCTTTGGACATATTATTGTGTACTTTTTTATTATCAAATCTCAAAGATAATTGTGCCATGCAACATTGTGTTGGAGTTGCAAATCTAATCAGGTTGCATCACAATTCACAAACATCAAATTCCTCAAGCTTCACATATATGAATGGCAGCTATATTATTCAAAATCTGAGGAAGAAAAAGTGTTTGTTTATTTAAATTTATGTATAAACCACTCCAAAATAGGGGGGAAAAACATGCATACAGGCTCACAGTCCAATAACTATTACTGAATAAAAATTCATTTTAAATCAACCATCTTTTTCGAAGCATCTATAAAATAATTTGAGGTTTTTTTCCTGCATCTCCCCCCCCTAAAAAAATCAGTATATTAAACCCTGTTCTCTCTTCTTTGCCAGTGTGTTCTGGACAGATCTCTGGTTTATGGAAAGAATGACTGAGGGCATTGTTGTCTGACTGATGTATCAGCTCTGTACACAGCAATGAAATCCCATTCATAATTTTGAAAATTCCAATGCAAATAAAAAGATACAAGTAACAAAGCCTTGGGCTAGTTAATTTCATTTTAACACTGCAAACAGATTAGTTCTGGGACAGGATCATTGACAGAATGTTGGCAGGCAGACACTTTTGCAAAACAGAGGGCATTTCCCCCAATGATCAGAAAACGGATTTGAATTTCTTCCTAATCTTTCTAAAAATAAATAAGCACTTGGAAAACCAAAGGACACATCCATGTCAAGAGCTTTAATCAAACTGATTTTAAAACGATCCTTTTTACATAACCCTTTGCAAGCTAACATGACATTAATCCACCAGAAAGAATAGCAAGTGAATTTTAAAAAGCTTAACTTTGTATCCAGTTTTAAAATTTGTGTAAAGTATTTACTGCATAGCAAATAGGCAAATAATGGGAGGTTGACATTGCATAAAATGCAGATGTCCATAGTCTTTATTTCTGACTTCATCTACAATTTAACCAGCATTAGTCTGGAAGGTCCTCCAAGATGACCTTACTCCAGGAAAATCAAAGGCAGTTCCACGGTCACTAATGAAAGGTTGTTTTCCTCTCTGCTGTGAGTTACGGTCAGTTTCTCATCACTGTGAGTTACTCATATTGGAGTAACAGGTAAATCAATACACGGGAGGTGTGGTATATTGCAATTCCTTTCTCTATTCCCCCTCTTCACACAGTTTCACAATGTTCAAATGGTATTTACAATAATGGGTTCCTACACTGATACATTTAATACAATGGTCAACAATATGATGCATATCATTCTGCATATGGTCCTATAGGCATCCCTTTCTCATCATGACGACCCAGAAATAAAGCTATGTGCATCATGATGCCGTGATGCAAGCTTCACCCCCTTGTACCTGTGTTGCCATATAACACATAAGTACGTAAGGGGAGGAATTTGCAACATGATGTTACAACACTTGGAAGCCTACGGCCCCCACTTGGATGATGCCCACAGGAATGATTTTTTTTTTTTAATGTCTGAAATCACATGAGATTTTAGTGTTCATGCCTGAAATGCCATTATTCTATGCTAATTCTAAACCTAGGAGTTTTGTCTGTGTTTAAAAGGACAGGAAATTATTTCAATTCTATTTGGAAGTGGTTTCAGGGGCTGCAGATGGAGGCCAAAAAGCATACATGCATACAAAAATTCTAAATAAGTCATTCTTCGATGCAAGAGGAAAATTGTGAAATAGTCCAACCTATTCTGAATTATGAACTACGTGAATTCACAATACTGGCCATGTAGATCTTTTGAAAAAGCAAAAGAGAACAGACCGCTTCTGTTTCAGTTACACAATTCAACGTTTTCATCTGCAGGTTGGTTAAAGTCCCTGATATTTATTCCTTTTCTCATCCAAAATTGCAGGAGCAACTAATGAACAAATGTGTTGTTTACAAAATACAGTGTCTGACTGATGAATGCTTTTGAATAATATGTTCTTAATGGGCCTGCTGGAAACTGTGTGGGGAAGACAATGAGAAAGCTGGAGTTGTTTTGATTTGTAGGAAATATTCTTTTAACAGTCACTGATTTTGCAACAGCTACAGAGATGTGCAAGGCAACCTGCATGCCCAGGACTTTTTGCAAGCACAATTGGCTCTGGTGCTTTGCCTGTTCTAGCAAAGCTGAGCCTGTTCAATTGCTCTCCAAGGGTCTCAAGCAACAGAACATTTTGACATCTCTAAGTATTCCTCATTTTGTGCTCTTCCACTAACTCTGATGATTTTGTCATCAAATAAACTCCAGCTTGAAAGCAGCACAAAACGCTAGGCAATCAAAATGCATTTGAAGTTATGAAGACTTGCTTTATTTAATATAAACAATACAAAAACAGAGCATGGGTTTGTAAAAGAGAAGTACATTACTATGATAAAACTGACTGAAAAACCACTTACATAGATCTACTGTATTCATGTTTATTCAGAGGAAATTTCAGCAATTTCAGCAGGATTTATTGCTATTATTAATTTCTTAGGACTGGAAAATGTATTTTGTTGTTCTTTTAAAGATAACAAGCATGAATTTAGGGCTGAGAGAAATTCAAGATATTGTCACAATCACAGAATCCAGCAAGGACATGGATATATGAGCTAAGGAATCAGTTGTGCTGATGAAGGATATATGGGGCAAGCACACTGAACTGAGAGATTCTAAGGTTTTTAAGACTCCTGGCCTAAATTACAATTTGCTGGAACCCCCAAGCTGTGTAAATATGTTGTCCCAAGCTTAAGCTTAAGCAAGCAAGGACTCTTGTACCCTGCTCTAAGG